CAATGGAAAAAACACAAACTTTGTCCAAAAACCTCTCATGTTCAGCTGTTTCCCACTTTTTCTTTGGTCATTTTAGCCTTTTTGGGAGTATCTGCCATCAAACAACGTTTGATGCAACGAAACAACGATGGCACCGGTATCCGGTGCCCCATCCCTACTGAACAGAGAGAAGCTGCTGGATCTGACATAGGGGTTATTTTGTTAGAGTAGTCAGAAGTAAAATCTAATGAAAATGGTTCTAGTATTTTTCCCCCCTTTCCCTTTAATCTGTTTCATTTTTCTTTAATTTGACAACGTTATTTTTGGTATTATGTATGATAGGTTTGTAGCTTAAACCTATTCGCTGGAACGTTGAAGACAATTTAATTACACAGCAAAAGCAAGACACCAGTAGGCAAAGTTCTTTATGTTTCTCGTGCACGGGAGAGAACTGGACAAACGGCGTCCTTTCGCTTGACCCAGTTGCTCTCGTCCGCTCCCCCGTAACACCGCTCTTCTATTGAGGTTACATGAATATACATAGGTTCATTAACATATGACGTCTACATACACACAAAGAGTACCTTGCCTGTGCGTTGTGTAAGTGTGTGTGTGTGTGTGTGTGTGTGTGTGTGGGGTGAGAGTGTGACCCCATAAACAACTTCCCTAAACCTGCTGGTCTGGAAGTCCAGCAGTTCATGTAAACAAAAGGCACTTAGACTAAAACTGACATACATACGTTTATCCTGCCATAAAACAATAAGAGAAGGTACGACCTCTCTCATGCTCCCAGGATGTGCGTGTGAATGCCAGAACACTCTGGAATGGACACAGAGTCTTTGCAAACTACTAAGGATCAGACCTCTACCAACATGACATTGATTATAAAACTCTAAGCATATATGAGTAGATATTTCTAAGCATAAATGACAATCCACTATATAAACCTGACAATGTACACATAGTAAATATATATCATATTTCAGTAGCACATTTCAGTACTGATGTGATAGTTAAATGTAAGGTAAACTGTGTAATTTAAAATTAAATTAAAGAAAATAAAACTGAGCCCACACAGAGAGAGTCTATAACTCAACATGTGATATGTTTTTGTTACAAACCTGAATTCTGAAAAAGATACTTTAAGATGTCAGAGCTGTACAAATATGTAAAATCTCTAGCAGATAGGATGGAAAAATACAAAGTGTGACAAACAATCTGTCACACCTTTTCTGATAAGAGATGGCCAGGGATAAAGTACAAGGTTTTTTATTGTTTTTTCCTTGCACTCCTCAGCACTTCTGAGTTTTGACAGTGAACGTTGTTTCTTGGTTTAACTAAACAGGTATGTAAACTGTACTAAAATTTAATAAAACATCTTTTTTTTCTATTCTGTTGGCTTAGTATACTTAATATAGTTAGCATTAAGTATATTAAATATGATAAATATTTTGTATTTGTAATAACAAAACCAATCTATCCTTTTTTTCTTCGCTTTTATAAATTGAAAAAACAACAACAAGGTTTTGTAGCCAAAACACTACAGACTAAGATTCTTTTATTACAATTTGTTCTGTATTGTACACATGATTTTCAGCATGATTGATTTCTATGTAACTTTACAATTATGTTTCATGTTTTATCATTTCAGTTGCTTTGATTGATGCAATCACATCACTATCATGCATTACAAGTTTCTACATGTGCTTGCATTTCTTTTGGCTTTTTCCTCACAGAAATGTAAGTTGCAATCTTGTGTTTATTCCTTTACTTGGAAATAAAAACTCAAGTGCATATTTGTCCTGTTTACTGTAATATTTTTTCTGTCTACTATAAATATCACACCGTTATTTTTCTTTTGTGTCCTGTATAACTTCAAAAGATGAGAACATTTTTAGAGAAGAAAGAGACTTGTTTATTCAAAAACAATCTTGGAAAAGACTTACATTGATGGAACAGAAGACAGATAAACTGAAAACACCACCTAAAATTGTAGGACATAGAGAGAGGATGGTAGAAAGTAACAAAACAAAGTCCATAGTGCAACAGGAACATCAACATCAAAATCAACAAGTAAGTACTCAGACCACATCAATCTTTAAACTTTTCTAACACACAAACCAGCAGCAGTTACAGTATGGTCTAAATGCAGATTTTAAAAAAGCAAACAAACAAACAAAAACTATCCACTATCTATCTATTCAAGTTTTACATCACTATCAAATCCTTACTTTTTGTTTTTTACATTTATTTAAGTTTGTTTAATTTTTCAGCACAACATACATCTGAGCCTAAATGATGAACTGATCTTAAAGTCTGAAATCACCACGTGCAGTGGATCATTTGGAACGGTTTTGGTCCTTATCTTAATTCACATTTGTGGAGGTAACTTACACGCTGTGATCTCAGTGTCGTAGTTTTGTTGTTTTACTTTGATTTTTTTATTTTAAATGATATGTTTCAGTGAAAGGACATATGTCTGAACAGAACTGAAATGTAAATCATCATAATCAAATCATAATTTTAAACAGTTGTGACTGTTATTAGGAAAATGTTTAATGGAATTATTATCTCATTCTATTTTCAGCTAATCTGGTTGCAGCTGTATCAACAGTATCTCCCCAGATTGTTTCAGCTGCAAGCCTCATTGAAATAGGCTTTAGTTCTCTAGCAGTTTATGCCATGTATAAAAAATGGAAATGTAAGTCACGGTCCTTTTTCTGTTTTATAATGTGCAACATCATTCATTTGGACTAATCTTGAATACAAATTTAGGCTTTTTATCTTACCTTTTTACATTTGTATTTCATGTAGTCTGATGTCATGTTAGAGAAGTACTGAATACGTTTTATGCATTTTGTTGACACATCTTATTTGAAGTTTCTTTTGATTAATTTTTTCATACCTTTGACTGTGTGAGGAACAAATTACTAACTTAAGGTCTTACTGAAGTCTTTGTCTCTACTGCTGATATTGTTTCCATAAAAGGTGAAAAGGCTGAAGTGGTAAAGAACAAGTTGAAACTTCAAAATGAATCACTGGTGAAAGACCAAGATCATGAAGATATGCTTAATACACTGACTGAAGTGAACACCCAACTAGAGAACTGGAGGAATCAACTCAAACTCAAACTCGAGGAAGTTAAGCAAGAGAAAGAAGAAAACAAAAAGAATCTTCAGGCAGTTGAGGAAAAAATAACTCAGAAAGACCTTTCATCTGACAAACCCAAAGCTTTATTAAGAGATAAAGAAATGTTATTATGGACTCAGTGGAAGCTGGACATGATCAAGAAAGATACTGAGATACAGCTACTGAACACTGAGAAACTGAAGGAGCCAATAGAGTTTCAGGTTATTAGAATGCGACAAAAGAAAGAAATTGACATGCAGATTTAAAGTTCAGTTGAAAAAAACAGCAGTCTATTCTCCCGTGATTAGCTGTTTGTGAGAATCAATGGCAGATTTCCATAAGGTTGCACTATTCCTAAATAGATCAGTTTTTAGAAGGGTTTTGGCTCTATTAACTTTTGTATACAGTACATGATGTGCTGAGGACATTTATTTAAAGCTATTGTAGTACAGAAGATAATGATTTTCTTTTTTGTTTGTCATTTGGGGCATCCAAAATCTGAAACATCAAATTTCCTTTTAGTAATTATATAGCAATGCCCTGGGGTTTTGCATGTCATTTGACCGGACAATAGAAATACATTACGTAAACAGACTTCTGAACTTTTGACATTTTTGACAATGTATGAGTGTTTTCTTATGTTATTAAAATATGTGTTTAGTTAAACACTGACTACTGAGTCTTTTCATTTCATCTATATTGATCTGATGATTTTTATCTGTTATTCATTTGAAAAAAAAAATGTGTTCTGTTTGTCTGTGTATGAACACATGATGAAACCACATATGAGAGGTGGTAATTTTAACATATAGCCAAGGCTTGCAACTCTCTGCTGTGAGCTATTAGAAAGTAACCTGTGCGTGTAATAAAAAAAGTTGTCTGTACATCCGGGTATGTTTTTCTCATGTTCTTAAAGCCATTAACTGTCTACAGGATTCTGTTCTAGATAAGTATTTTTAAGTAAGCACTGTGTCTGCTGAGTGAACAACAGAGCTGAACTGCTATAAATCTTTCTACCATTAAAACCTATTAAAACTTGTAAGATTAGAGTGATGGTTCAGCTGAACAAAAATGAAGCATCGATATATTTATACAAGCCTGTATGCACATAGTGTGCCAAAAGAACTGTGTGTTCCAAGTACAAATCTGTCATATTATCTAACAGTATCTTGGATTAAATATTAACCAGTCTGATTTTTGATAAAACAATAAAACAATGAAAAAAAATGGCAGTCACTAAAACCTATTGCACTCCCACACCGAAGGATCTTTTTTAAATTTATATAACTGTCTAAAGCTTTCTTTCTTTACCATCTTGTAAGGGTGAACTACAGATTATCTGTCTGTAGTATCCATGCTTCCATGCTGAATTGCATATCTTAAAACTTTTTTTTTCATCCACACACCCACATGCATAAAGATAAACCACCACACTTTTTATATAGTCATGATCAAAGTACAAATGAGTCTGAGGATTCTGAGCACAGCTTACTGAGAGGAGAATTGTTGTTTTGGCGAGTGTAAAGGTAATTAAGTTTTGTTTGTTTTTTCAATTTTTTTCTATAAATGTCAAATTGTCTGTACTATATTTCATTGTATTCCAAGGCTTTATCCAAATGAGTAATAACAAAGAAAAAACAATCTTCAGGAGGACTACTTGAACAACTCTGATCATTGATATTCCAATTATATTTTCAGAGACTATGCTGCCAAATTAGTACCTTTGTTTAAAATCAAACTATTTTTGTCAAATGGTGGTCTGTTATGAATAACAATAATTAAAATGTTTTTTCTAAAATGTGACACCCATTTCTTTGAATTTTTAGCACCCCAACATTATTCATCATGGAAGGAATATTTCTTAAGCCTCAGCTCAGAAGACTCACTGCTTTGCTTTTCCACATTGTCATCATACTTCTCCTGACACTTGTTTGCAAAGGTAACTGTTACACAAATATCAGCAGGTGTCCAGTTTAACAATTAAGGTTTGATTCATGGAAGCAAAAAGAGGGAAGACGGTCTAACTGTATAATTGCTTACTTCACTCATTTAATTCCTTCTTGAAGTAATGTTTTTGTTTTTCCTCCTTCACTATTTTTATTTATCAAGTAAAATAACTTATTTAAACAAGGCAAAGCAAACAGGACAAGTAAATTTAAATTAGACTTTCTTTTTCCAAGAACACTCACAGGAGATCAGTCCTTCTCAGCCATTAATAGCAGTGGCTGGTGACGACGTTGTTTTGCCATGCCAGCTGGAACCTCCTGTGGATGCTGTTCAGATGACAATTGAGTGGGGAAAACCTGACCTAAACCCTGGATTTGTGTTTGTGCGGCAAAATGGACAGGAGCTTCAGACTGACCAAAACACAGCCTACAAGGGAAGAGTGTCTCTGTCCATCGATAAGCTAAAGCACGGAGATGTTTCACTGAAGCTGTCCAAAGTGAAAGTCTCTGATCGTGGAAGATACAGATGCTACATTCCACAACAGAGTAAAGAATATTTTGTTGAGCTTCTTGTTGGTGAGTAAATAAACTCTGCTATATCTTCTTAATGAGCTATGAGCAGGTTTCAAAAACTGCTGCTTTGTCAAATTACTGCCGTCTCAGTTACATTCATGGTTCTCTTCTGACAGGTTACACATTTTTGAAAGGAAGGATTAATCCTGCCCTGTATCGGTGGGTCAGGGTGGTAGTAGTAGTGTAATAGTGTAGTACATTAGTAATCCTAGCACACTTTTGGCCCTCCAGTATAATTTGAGCATTATTTAAATGTCTCAGCCTACATTACAGTTGCTGTTGTTTGAACATCCCTTCATGACCCATGTGTACTCATGTCTTGATGGCTTCTTTTAGCAGGACAGCATGTCATGTCACAAAACTTAAATGATCTCAGACTTGTAACTTAATGTTATGTTCAAGTTACCACTGTACTCAGTGAACATAAAGTACACTGTACATAGTAGTTAGATTTATGTGTAACAGAGATACAATAAGAGAAGCTCAAGTACGTGGTGGAACATGAGAGTCACAGAAGATGAATTGTGTGTTTATTGTTTCTAAATTACTTTTATTGTGGGAAAGCACTCAAAGATCCTGTATATAATTTTTAATTGCCATTCATTGTGCAAATTATAATAAAAAGGGGGACAGGAAGAAATGTGTATTAATATTGATACAATGCTAACACATGTCTAATTTTAGATATCTGTGTTATATATACACTACCTGTCAAAAGCTTGGGCACACTTTTGCATTTCATGCTTCTTCTTTATTTTCTTGACTTTTTACATTGTAGATTCTCACTAAAGGAATCAAAACTATGAATGAACACATATGAAATGATGTAGTTAACAGAAAAGTGTGAAATAAATCAAAACATGTTTTATGTTTTAGATTCTTCAAAATAACCACCCTTTGCTTTGATTAGCATTCTCTTGATGAGAATCATGAGGTAGTCAGCTGAAATGGTTTTCCAACAGTCTTGAAGTTCCCAGAGATGCTGAGCACTTGTTGGTTCTTTTGCCTTCACTCTGTGGTCCATCTGCAAACCATCTTGATTGTGACCATGGAGTCCAGTCAATCTGATGTAGTACTACATCACTCTCCTTCTTGGTCAAATACCCCTTAAACAATTGGGTGGTGTGTTTGGGGTCATTGCCCTGCTAAAAAAAATAAATGATGGTCCAAGTAAATACAAACCAGATGGGATGTCATGTTGTTGCAGGATGGATGCTGTGGTAGCCATGCTGCTTTAGTGTGCATTTCATTTTGAAAAATTCCCCAACAGTGTCTCAAGAAAAGCACCCCCACACATCACACCTCCTTCTCTATGCTTCATGGTGGGAAAAATGGATGTAGAGACCATCCATTCACCTTTTCTGTGTCACACAAAGACACGGCAGGTGGAACCAAAGATCTCAAATTTGGATTCATCAGACAAAGGCACAGATTTCCACTGATCTAATGTCCATTCCTCGTGTTTCTTGGCCCAAACAAATGTCATCTGTGTACTAACCTGACGTCTGCACAACACAACTGATGGTCCCAACCCCATTAAGAAGGCAAAAAATTCCACAAATGAACCCTGACAAATCACAACTGTGAAGTGAAAACCATTTCAGGTGACTACATCATGAAGCTTATGAGAGAAGGCCAAGGGTTTGCAGCACTGTCAACAAACCAACGGGTACTTTCAGGAATCTAAAGTATAAAACATATTTAGAGTTGGTTATCATTTTTTTCTTTGCTACATAATTGCACATATTCTGCCTCGTATATTTGATGTCTTCAGTATGTATTGACAATCTAGAAAGTATTAAAAAATAAAGAACATGCATATATATGTAT